ACAGCGGCAACTAATAACAAAGATGGCGCATGCACCACACAGTGGAGGAGGAGTTACGTGACCAATGAGGAGCAAAGAGTAGTCATCATCTGTCCAAATTAATTCGCAATAAAGTCCATATATAGTCCCCGCTCAGAGTGCGAAATACAGGGGGGTCTGGGAGGGCTCCACCCCTCCGATTAACCCATGAGACCTCCTGAAAGCCTCAAAAGCAAAATTTAAAGGGGTTCTTAAATTGTGTCAAAAAAATTTAAAATATATTTTGGTCACTAATGGTCACTAATGTTTTTATACTCAACCTGTCTGGTATTTAAAATTTAAAACATTTATTCACAAATATGTTCTGTTTTTTTGCCAAGTATAACCAGCCAATCCTGTGTGCGTATGCAAATTAGCCATGTGCACGCTAAACAGAAGAAAGACTTAAGGGGGCAGAAGAAGCTAATTTTCCTAGCATGCACCGGGCAGCATGTTCAGTATTAGGAGCTGCCAGTTAATGTCAATCTTTTCCAGGTAATTAAGTTACATATTTTACTTGTTACTGTTATGTCTGTTATATCATCAGAGTTTCTGTTATATTCTGAAGTACTTGTTGGTTCACCGTGAACCTGGAAGATCGGCATTGCGCAACAATTGGGAGATGGGGAACCCCCCAAATATTGACAGGTATTTCGCACAGTGTCCCTGCTCTATATAGTAATTGAGGGATTAGGGTGGACGTTTAGACACAGAAAGCTTGTATGAGCGATGCAAACAGTAACTTTTATACAAAGTGTGCAGGTGTTCCCTCTCAGGAAGCGGGTACAGGGTTGTGCATGTGTATTTTTTTATTAAGTGGAGAGGGCGGGTCTCTTAAAAAATTTGTGAAAATCCTCCACAATACCTTTAAGAAATTAGAAGAATGGGAAGCTAACAGCTGACTAGCTATCTCAAACAACCCAAGCAATGTCCCTATACTTAAACACACAACACTAGATTACTAATAATTATACATCGCAACCTTTGAAGAGACTGTTGTGAAGACTTTTGCACTTTTTTAGCCTAAAACACATCTGTTCAAACAGAATTATTAGCAGTTAGTGTATTTGCAAGCTTCTGTTATATCATGTTGTTGTGTACTAGAAAAAGCTTGGTTCATGGTGAGAATTTTTAAATATTTTTGGGCGCATAGCAAAAGATTCCTGATATGGAGCACTAAAATGCTTGTGCAACTAAAATAATGACCTATTCAATTAGTTGGCAGGTGAGCTACATGGATACTATGCTCAATGGATATAATGTGCAAAAACTGATTTGGTTCGCCCTGTTTAAATCAATAAATTGCATGTCATACTACTAGTTTGGAAGTTGTATTGTATAACTTAATATATTGTATTGTATTATAATTGTATAACAACCATGAAGCCATGGAGGTGAAGGTAATAATAATAATTATAGAATAAAATAACTCTAACAATAATAGTGAATATTAGTTAAAATACACTTCAAAATATGTATTTCAAAGTGCTACAGTAAAAAAAAAAAAATGTAGAAAGAAATAAGAGAATTAAAACAGTTAAATATCAATTTGAAACCCTGGAAAAGGCTTGGAGTGAAATCATGCCCTTAACAGCTGTCTTTACCTTTGCCAACCAGGATCATGATAATTTAATACAACAAGCTGTGCCTCATATAGAGTAGGTAGAAAAACACTGAGGGAGAAAAGGACAAATAAAAAAAAAACCCTGGCACAAGCTAGGGGTGCACACTTTAATAGATGCAAATAAAGCTCTTTCTGTCCCCCTCTCTATCATTACTTTGCAGGCTCTATGATCTTTCTTGTGCTCTGGTGATTATTGATGTTCACTTCTCTTGTTTTGTTAATATAAACACAACATTTTGGCTCTGTGATTTCTTTTTATTTTGGTTTAACTTGTTAAAGAAAAATGATTATTTTTTAGACTTTATTACAGTTAATCTTATGGCATGTGTAAACACTCTCACTTGAACATATTTCTTAATTTTGAACAAGGCTGTGTTAATGATTTAAAAATACTAATGGGTAAGTATTCAAAGCACAGGAGGCCTTAAAATGAGTATCTCCTGGGGGGTGAATAACAGTTAAGCCTGCAGGAGAGATTTCTGCTTGGTTTACAGAAGGTCAAAAGTCTTTCAGAATAAACAACCAGGGATGGTGAGGCCCCCCGCATTCCACAAGCTGTCTGTGAGAGCTTATCTTGTGTTTTATGACTTTAGGAATTCTAGATGCCAGGACAAGCTTTCCGCCTTTTCTTGTTAAAACAAAGAAGCAAATGACCCCAGATGTTTGCAGTAAATAAGGGGAAGCCCTAGCAGTGTCAGAGATGGCGTTTGGTTGGAGGACCGAGGGCCAGCCCTTTTTGAATGGATTAGATACAAGAGGATAAAGCTTTTCTAAATAGAAAAAAAAGATCAGATTTGCCCTTGCAACTCTCCAAAGATGTCTCTGTACTCTTTGCTTTCTTTCCTCCTATGTCAGGTAATGGAATGTATGTCTCTGTTGTTCTGCAGTTTCTGGTGTAGGTTTGTGCATTGTCTTATTTCTAAAGTGTATGCATTGTCTTATATTGGATTAAACTCTGTAATTCTGTGACGTCAACACGCAATGTTGGTTTTATTACCAAACGCAGCTCGCCGAGTGGACCTGGGGAAGGGAAGAATCAGAAGCCAATCTTTTTCCAAAGTTAACTATGTTAGAATATTTTCTTCCTTTACAAACTGCATAAAGATTATTTGCTTCCTGCAACATTAATCCACTTGTTTGTCAATCAACTTTGGGCACGCTGTAAATTTTCCATGTGCTTTTAAACACGCAAACCTTTTGGAGATCACACCCTTTATTTGTAAAAATGGAATAGATGTGCACTGGGGCAAAACCAAAAATGTCAATGTATCAGGAAACATCATACTAAGATGTGTATCCTCACTTCCTTTTTTTCCATGTTTAATGGTTGTCTAAATAAATGTTTAATACTTTAGATTCAATGTAAGAGTGCCACTGAGGAGTTTTACTTAAATAATCACAAGCTGGATTGATCAAAAAGTAGGTCAGGTTGCCTTCCTGTAGGAGCCCCTTCACGTGAGTAAATCTTCAATGCAAACTGAGCGTCTGCATAGTGTTGGATGAGATCAATTAATGCTGTTATCTGGTTGTTGCCGTGGCATTTTCGTAGCACCAACATGCCCTTTGTAACATTGGCACATAGTGTATGTGTCTCAGAGTTTTGATGATCATGCAATGTAATTTGTTGCAATTTTAAGAATAAAATGAACGGTAACCTGGCCTTGCTGGTGATAACATTTTGATTGCAAATACCAAACCATTAGAAGTGTGATGTTAAAATTCAAGGTAGATACATAGTAGCTTGACTTTTTTTTTTTTACTCACTGAAGAACATTTTTTTTAGTACAGATAAGGGAACTATCTTTGATAGCTTCACAGAATCTTACTCCAAAAATCCAAACTAGCCATTTATTTCTGAGTCAAACCCTTCTTCCTCCTTGCTGAATATGGTTCACCTGAACTTTCAAAATGTGTATAAAAATACCAGAGATCCCAAGTTATTTATTAGGAGTGTCTTGGGGTGTGTGTGTATGTGTGTGGGAGAGTGGGTGAGTCTGATTTAAGGCTAACTCAGTCAGTCTCAGTGTTATCTGAGGAGTTAGGGAGTACATGGTGTTGAAGTAATGAGTATTTAACAACGTGATTGGAAAAAAAGCACTTATTGTTGAAGAACGGTCTGTTTCTCTTCAAACATACAAACACACATTTCAGTCTATTGCATGAGTGCTTTTAAATATGGGTGTGATATAATTACAAACACACAGTCCTGTAGGTCCTCTCTGTGGCCAGTACTCCTGCACGATCTCCCTCAGCCCTTAAACTTGTGACACCATCCTATCACAGATCAAACTTTCAAATAACTAATAGAGGCCTCTGTAGTCTGTACATGATGAGTTATCATCTCACAACTTGAGGGAGGGGGATAATAAGGCATGTCTACTGAGTGCCTATACCTACACCGAGTAAAATGTCCTGTGCAATAAATGAGGCCTCTTTAGCTAAAAAGACTATCTACAACAGTCCGAGTAAAAAACAAGAAAAAACAATCTTTCACAAGGTAGCCGCCTTCCAAATGTCCGAGCCAGTTCCTCAACTTTGCTTTTCATCGACTTTTCAACAACTTTGTTGCAGTAATTCTCCTACATAAGTGACAGTGCATAATATTTGTTTTACACAATGTCAAAAGAAAGCGTTATGTACAAGCCTCCCAGACTGTTTGTGTGATGTAAATTAATGCTAGCAACAACCATGTGAGCGGTGTTACATTGTATAGCATTGATTAAAGAGGTGGTACGTCAGCTTATCAGTAACAGTGGGACATCCTGATTACAACTTGTTCATAAAACGCCACCTGTACCTGACATATGAAATAGTTTTACGAAGGTATAAAAGATCTCAAACAGCATCTAGTATGGAAACCATCATTATTAGCGACCGGCTGTCAAATTTCAACAGCGGGTTTGGCTCATATGTGACAAAAACACAGAGCAGCCTGAATGAACGCTGGTCCGTCCTGATGAAGCTGCATGTGAACTGGAGGACACTTCCACTGGAGACCTTTAAGGCACGTCCTTCCTCTCAGTAGCTTCGGGTGAAAATGTTGTTCTTCACAGTAACATGAGTTCAGACTGAAATAAAAAACAATATCCAACCAAAAAAAAAACAACCTTGTGTTGGTGTTTTGCAACATGTGCGTACTTAATCATTAGATATGTCTTGAATAATATTAATCCCCCAGCTCCTAAGATGTCTCTGAAATCCTGGAGCACAAACACAAATGGTCATGGAGCAAAATATTCTACAGAAAACAGAAAAAAAAAATCAGGAGTAAAATATTCAGTCTATCTGGCTTGTTGGTTAAACCAAGAGCAACCTTCCTGACATCACCAGGAGAAGATGGAACACAATTACAAATACTTAGAGAATACTATAACAACAGAATACAAAAGAAAATCTGTGATATTACAAGCAGAATCATCATAAACAGTATGAATGTCTGTTATTCACAACGTGGTTGTTGTTCTTATACCCTGTTTTCTATAAGAATATCTTATTATCATTCGTGATTGTATTTCTCATTAGCAAACAGCTCTTTAGGTGTTGGGGATGAGGAGGAGGAGCAGTAGCAAATAAGTAAGGGGATGGGAAGAGTGCAGGGAGAAATGGAAAATGTCCAGACCAGGGTACGCTGTGGCTATAGCAAGTGTGCAATACCTACTTTCTTAACTGTCATGGGGCAAACAGGCAGTTCACTCCCTCAGACTATGGCCACAAGAAAACTAAATAAAGGTGTTGCGTCATTATGATTTTAACCTAGAATAGTGAATTCTAGCACACTGGTGGGTGAGTTGATGGAATTGTTGAAGTTAAGGGCCTTTGTAAGATTAAAGAAAATGTTGATTGATTGTGTATGGGTGTTAAAGTAGTGTAGCTTTGGCCATTTTAAAGAGAGGTTAGCATTGGTGAACCCCTCAGGATGTCCTGATTTTTAGCCATGTTTTCATTCTACTTTTTATCTTCAACAGTCTATATTTTGTCTCTGCCACTCATTTGACTCCTTATCTCTTAATGTCACCAGGAACTTGGGCTGCTTTGTGTCTAAAGTGTTCTAAGAAATACCCCTGATCTCTAACACTTTTAACCTCTATTGCTGTCCTCCTCCTTCCCCTTCATCTTTTACACGTCAGACTCAATGCTGGAGAGTTTCTCGTACACATGGCCATTGCTTCCATTGAAGGGACGTGGGGGTCCTACTGCCAACATGGACCCATGGTGATTCATCCCACCAAGACTGAGCTCTTTTGGGAACCGCGGGGTCACGTTGGACATCACCCCGGCTGTGGCAGAAGCTGGCAGATACGACGTTGCGCTTAACTGACCCCTGAAGTCACCTCTGCTGTTTTGGGCAACTTGTTGCTGCTGCTGTTGCTTTGTCAGGTAATATTGTTTGGCTCCATGCATTAGACACTGATCATCACCGAAGGTGGGTATAAAGGGGTTCTGGTTTACCCTATCAGGGTAGAGAGATTTGGATAAAGAGAATGCTCCTCCACCTCCACCTTCCATCAAAGATCTGTCTCTCATGTCTCTTTCTCCGATGGAGCGGCGGTGAAGGCCCTCACCTCCTCTGAAGAGGCCAAAAGGTGAACCAGAACCTTTTTGGTTCTCACCACCATAAAACAATGGGTCTCTGTCTCTTTCCCTCTCTGAGCCCCCATGGCGTTCAAATATGTGTGCGAAGGGGCTGTTATCATCCATGTACCGTTCTTTCTCCTTCAAACTAACACTCCTTGGTGGGGGCAGCATTCCTCCCATGCCAGCTCCACCCATACCTCCCCCTAAACCTTCCATCAAACTTCCCATTCCACCTGATTCTTCTCTTTGAAGGTCAACAAATGTGTCGTAGGAATGCTGTCGCCTTAGCTGCTTCCCAAATCCTCCGCTCTTTCTTCTCTGCTGGGCCTGAGATGGAGCCTGAGGACCCGCGGACATACCTCCCACACCTCCTCCACCTTTCCCGCCCCCCATTTGTTCCAAGGGGTGGTTATTGTCTTCACTGATATCGTAAAGGTTTCCTGTCTTTTTACAACCATCACAGCGCATGCAGGTTGCAGAACTAGGCCGGCTGCTACCTGCTGAAGACCCGCAGCCCATACCACTTGAATACCCACCACCTCCTCCATGAATGGACATCTGCTTGCCTCCACTAGCACGACAGTTCCTGCACTCCCATTCTCCCCCTGCCAACCCAGACCCTATCCCTCCTTTTAGATCAGACTTTTTGGGTTTGCTTTTAAGAAAGTCTTCAACTGGCACCAACGAGGTGCAGGTGGGCACTCCTCCATCTCTGTTTCCAGGACCCTCTGTCAAGTCCACATGTTCCCATTGAGGGACACCCTCCTTGGGTCGAAACTGGTCAAGATAAAAGTCCCTAACACTCTCCTTTTCCCTGAAAAGATAAGAGTTCCCATTGTTTTTTCCTCCTCCACCCCCTCGCTTGCGTTCAGAGGGCAATAGTGGTGGGGAGGCAGAGCGTTGGCTGTGGTAATGATGGTGGCTTATGTGGTATGGTTTCCTCCTGTAGCCCAGCTCAATTTCGTCCAGCTCCCGTCTGGACTTTGCAGAGGCCGGCCTCTTTTTTAAGCTGTCACGGTACTGTTTGCGCTTCTTGGCATTGCCCTCCAGGTTCCCATATGTTACGGTGTGTGTGGAAATGTCAGAGACATCTGAACGTATATTTCCTTCATCGTCTCCTCTTCCCCCACAGTAGCTGTGTCCAGGAATGTAAGTGGAACTTGAGGCACCACCTTTAAAAGAGAACTTCCCATAGATTTCAGGCAGACCACCCTTGAAGCTCTGGCCTGAAGGCGGAGTCTGTCCAGACAGCAGGTCAAACTTGCTCATGTTCCTGTGGGTCAAAGCTGAGCAGGGCTGGGTGGTAAAGATAGGTGCTACCCCTCCACCGAGGCTGTCACAATCAAACATGCCACCCTCCAGAGAACTAGCACTCCCCAAACTGTGAGGCCTATTGGGTGGAGGACCACTGAGTCCGGGAGTTGAGCCATGGTGGTGTAGATAGTGATCCTGGTACAAATTGCTGTCCTTGAGATGAAGGTTGCCAAACGTCCTCTCCACTTCACTAATGTAATCACTAAACATGTTGTCTTCTGGCATGTAAGGTGGTTTACAGTCGGAATGGCCTGCTAAGCTGCGGCGATGCTCAGAAATGTCATAAACAGAAGAGTCTCGACGGATGAAATCTAGAGCGCTATGCGGCGAGCCGTTAACTCCTGACAGAGAGGCCATGTTTTTGGCAGTACGAAGGAGGCGCATAATGTTCGAATGGGTGTTGTTCATGGTGGCTGATGGGGAGTTCAACGCAGAGCTGCTCTTCTCCTCAATTTGTACACCATGTATGCAGCTGTATATACCCTGTGGAGAAGAAATGAAGGAGAAGAATTAAAAATGTGAACTGTCAGTGCTGCATCCTATCATTTCTAGACACCTCTGTTCCAGTCTACATGTTTGCCATTTTTATACATCAAATATCTTAAAGAAACCCCCATTATAAGATTTACAAAATTTAATCTCTCTTTGGATTGATAAATTATTTTTTGTGTTTTCTGCATCCTATAAGCAGATTTGATGGGACTTCTTGTGTTAAAAGCTCTCTTTTTCAAGTAAATAAATCCAACTAAATGAAACTTACACCGTATTTAGACTCCTCAAGTTAGTTTATCTGTACATAATATAGTCTATTAACATAGGTAACACTAACTGGACAGTAAATTTGCTTGGCAACAAACTATTTTGTTTCCTCTGCGTAGAAAAAATCAGGATTTCCATAAACCACCACCCCAGCGCTGCATGTCCCAAGCCTGTAACATCAAGAGTGACCCCTCACAACCCCACTATGTACTGTTCTCCCTGCTGCCCTCTGGGAAGAGGTTTTGCAGCATTTGTGTAGGTCCAGCAGGTTCCGCAACTGCTTTTTCCCCTCTGCCATCAGACTGTTGAGCTGTCGAACTCTAAACTGAACTCTGCATCACACTTCCAACATTATTTTTGCAATACCAGCATGGCTAATTTTATAAATAAACATTTTAAAGAGAAAAACTTAATGTCCTACTGCATTTATTTTGCACTGCACTGAATGTTCCATATCAATGCCTTTTGCACCATAACTCTTAAACTGGTTTCCTTTTATCCTACAATGTCTGCATTCTGATCCCTGCTGCACTTTATAATGGTAATGTTAATTTCATTGTTGCAAGCTGCTCATTCATTGTTGTAAGCTGTATGCAACAAAATTTGTTTTGTATACACTGTGTATACAAAATGACAATAGATTGTCTATGTCTCAGTCTAAGTATAACCATAAATCTGCAATGGAACTTAAACGTCCGTATTTCCCGGGACATATCCGTATTTCACGTCCTGTCCCGGGCGTCCCGGGTTTTTTTTAGAAAGTGAGGAAATGTCCTGATTTCACTGCGCACGACGCTCCGTGTGACATAATCCCTGAGCCGCGTCAGTGCGGGCAGCCCTGTTCTTCAGAGGCAGTGTTCGAAAACCTAGGACGCATCCTCCAAGGACGCGGTCTACCTAGACTGGATCCTTCGAAGTCCTTGAAAATAAGGAGGCCGGAAGAGTTTTGGCTGTAAATTCGAACAGGTCCACCCTTCGGCGGGTTTTACCGCCGTATGCTCTGTTGCTTAGCAACCGTGAAAGTTGACACACAAAGCAGGAAAAGAATGAATAACGAGGTTTTCAAAACTGTTTGTTTATTTATTTATTTTTTAAAAAGTTAAAGTGAACAAAGACTACATTAACAAGAATCCAGAGTGGAATAAAGGTTCCAACCACCGGGAGCAGGAACAAATAAAATCAAATGTAATGATAGAAACCTTAGTCAGTTAAATAACCTGCTGCTGTCATTCTGCACATCTCTGATGTTGCTGCTATTTTCAAATATCCATTACTGTAAAAATGTCCATAGCTGCATATTGGTTATTTATTCTCCAGTTTTATATTAAAAACTGGAGAATAAATAACCTTTATAATAATAATAATAATAATAATAATAATTATAATATAATATAATAATAAAAAACTTTACAGAATTTTATTTTTTATATTTTAACTCTTCCCTATTATGTTATTCTTAGACATTTTTCTAAGGTCCTCATTTGTGTGACTATTTTCAATAATCTTTCTGCTGATGTAAATTTGCCCATTGTGGGACAATAAAGGGATTTTCTATTCTATTCTATAAAAGGGTTAGAAATATATAAGTAAATCTAAACAATGTATCTACAAAATGTATCTGCAAAATCTCTAATATTCAACAACAAAAAATACTTAGTTAAGCATATTGTGCAAAACAACAATAAAAAAATTAAACTCCTATCAGATTTATAGTTCCCACTCTGCAGATATATTAGAATCTGTCCTTAAATTACAGCCAAACCCATTTACACAGTAACAGATAAAAACCTTTAGATAAATCAAACACCACCGCCACATATCTGACTGAATAACCATTAAAACAACTATTTTCATTCATCTCAGACGGAACTATTCACAGAGTTGTATTATATTAAACTGAACTTCCAATTTTCACCACTGTTCGGCGCCAAGTAACATTTCCTCTGATCACGGAGTAAATCCCGATGATGGGATCATCCCGCTCCAAGGTGTCCTGGTTTTCCCAAATGAAAATATGGTCACCCTAATGGAAGTAGTAAATAAATCTAAACTTATATAATCAGAAAAATTTATATTTTTAATCAGCTCTCTAAATTGAATTGCTTTTAACACATGATGATTGTGTTCAGTCATTATTTTCTCCAGAAGGAACATTTTTCATTTAATTAGGAATTCTTTTGCTCAGTGAAATAGCTGAGGAAAACTCAAATGTCAAGGGGATATATATATATATATATATATATATATATATATATATATATATATATATATATATATATATATATATATACATGTATATATACAAATGTATAAAAAGTATTAAAACAAATATTTTAAGACTGGCCTTTAAAAGAATGCACGGTAACATTAATTATGTCATCAGTTATTCAATAGTATATATCAGTTAAAAATTGCATCCTGAAAAATCATCTTTTAAATGTAGATAACATAAAGTAAAAATGGTTGTAAATTGAAAGTAAAGATCTTTGAATTCATGTAGAATTTACAGGAATATTTTGCTAATCAAACTAAACTACAAAGGTTGCAATGTGCAATTGATAAAACAGCACCACACTTGCAAGAATGGAGTCACTTGATGCTAGATGATTGATAGTGGCATAGGGATTATAAAACCCTTCCAGATCCAGTGGTCAATACCTTCAATCAATGTAATTAGAATCCAGCTCAACAATTTCCTCTGACAGTTATATAAAAAAAACTCACTTTCACAAACCCCTTGGCGCCTTTGGCCACAAAACAATGCTGGAGCAAAAAGGCCATGCAAAAGAGAGACTAGCTGAGCCCCACAGAGACAGAAAGATAAACTGCTCCATTTGCATTCAGTGATGTACGATCAAATATTCAAATAAAAATGGATGTTCAGCAGAGGGCAAACCAGGCATGACAGATGAGGACCTTAAAGGACAGATCAATCGCAAAGAGTGATTTTCTCTGAGTGTGCTCTGGAAAATGTAAAAGCAGCTGGTCAAAAAACATCCAATCTGCAGGACCATAAATCCGTTTAGTGTTTGGTAGATTTCTTTCTATTTTTCCACTAGAAAGACCCTCAGTACTGCCTCCACAGGTCACATGCGTCTGGTAATCAGACTACTGCATTGGCGCAGAAAAGCTTCATCCTAATATCTATTTCACAGGCAATGTTATTGCTTCTTTTAATTTCACAGTCTGTTAATAGCCGAGTCTTTGAGGCTATTGTCAAAGTAGGTGAAGCTGAAAAGGCACTTTAAGGAACCAAGAAGAGTAAGATGAAAACAAACCCATTCTGATAGTTTGATTATATTTTTGGCTTTTTCCACAGAGAAGAATCTCCTCCTGGTTACTGAATCCTAACCCTCAGAAAAATAAAAAAAAATAAAAATACAGTTTTTCCGTTCATCTTAAGCATTTTTCAAAAGTATTCACACCCTTTTAGATTTCCTAATTTTATTCTGGTAATCATAGTTTTTATGAGTTTTAATGCAAAGTAGTGCCTGACAGTGAAATCTGACAAATGTGCTGTGCATTCGTACTTTCACCCTTTACCATAATACCTCCAGACAACACCCAGTGAAACAAACTGCCTTTCAAAGTTATCTAATCAGGAAATGGTGTACACTTATTGAACCCGAGCAAAAACACAGCAAAGGCCTAGGAGGGTTGTTGGACAAGATTAGTGGTCAAACAACCTACGGTGATGCTGACAGAGCTGCAGAAATCAGCAGGTTGGGGAATCTGTCACCAAGGTAGCAGTTAATTGTCTTTTCTGAATGTATTTGAGCTATCCATTTTAAAACATTTATTTCAATTAATGTTTCATTACAAAAAAAACCAGACACACAAAAAAAATCATAACTGGATGAACAGGAGCGAACTGAAGAAAATCTTATATTGTCTGCCATGTCAACACAAATACACTGCTCAAAATAATTAAAGTAACACTTTGAAGACGCATCAGATCTCAATGGGGCAAAAAGTCATGCTGTTTATTTATACTGATATGGACTGGCTGATGTGTTAGGAACAAAAGGATGCCACATCATTTGATGGAAATGAAAATTATCAACCTACAGTGGGCTGAATTCAAAGACACCCCAAAAATTACAGTGAAGTCCATTTTGCTGAAATGTCATTGCAGCAACTCAAAATGGTATTCAGTCATTTGTATGGTCCCCACGTGCGTGCATGCATGCCTGACAATGTCGGGGCATGCTCCTAATGAGACGATGGATGGCGTCCTGGGGTATCTCCTCCCAGATCTGGACCAGGGCATCACTGAGCTCCTGGACAGTCTGAGGTGCAACCAGGCAGCATCGGATGGATCGAAACATAATGTCTCAGAGGCGTTCTGTTGGATTTAGGTCAGGCGAGCGTGGGGACCAATCAATGGTATCAATTCCTTCATCCTCCAGGAACTGCCTGCATACTCTCACTACATGAGGCCGGGCATTGTCGTGCACCAGGAGGAACCCAGGATCCACGGTACCAACATAGGGTTTGACAATGGGTGCAAGGATTTCATCGTGCAACTGCACGCTTTGATTTTTGTTGACAACAACTATGCGTCACTTAACATACGTCACGCACTCCGTTGCTCTTATTGGTTGTAGGTCTATCCAATTGAGTGCAGAGGCATTTTTTTCCCTGGTTCGTTCGAAACACGCCCCATAATCACAGCTCTATGGAGCAGTATCAGACTCATATTCTGACTAGAATTGAGTAGGACT